CAGCCCAGGCTGGTCTCGGGCATTGGGCAGTGACTTACGAATCTGTGAGGTGCTTCTGGCAACTGGAGCCCAAATAGGACTAGTTTCAGCTTGGGGTGCCCCGCCTGGGTCACACTGCTGATCCCAGCTAGTCCCAGGTATGTGAGGGAGACTTAGCAATAAAATTTGAGGAGCACCTGGGTGGGTTCATTCGGTTAAGCATCTGCCTTTGGCTCAGGTCATGATCTCACAGTTTGTGGGTTTGACCCCACGTTGGACTTTGTGCTGACAGCTCAGAGCCTAGAGCCTGCTTCTGTGTCTCCCTCTCTCTTTGCCCCTCCCCCGCTCATACCGTCTGTCTCTCAAAAATAAACAAAAAAATAGGGGCGCCTGGGTGGCGCAGTCGGTTAAGCATCCGACTTCAGCCAGGTCACCATCTCGCGGTCCGTGAGTTCGAGCCCCGCGTCGGGCTCTGGGCTGATGGCTCAGAGCCTGGAGCCTGTTTCCGATTCTGTGTCTCCCTCTCTCTCTGCCCCTCCCCTGTTCATGCTCTGTCTCTCTCTGTCCCAAAAATAAATAAACGTTGAAAAAAAAAATTAAAAAAAAAATAAACAAAAAAATTAAGGAAAAAAAAAAAAAGAAAGAAAATTTGAGGAATTCACTCTAAAACAGGGTAGGTCACCTTTTTTGTGTAGAAAGGGTCAGAGAGTAAATACCCAAAACTATTGGGTAGTTGGTCTCCTCCTTTCTGGTTTCTAGATTTCTTTATATATTAAGGAGATGAGCCCTATTCTGTAGTTGTTGATATAGTGGTCTCTTTGGGTCAGGCAGGCTAAGTGGTTGATGATGTTGTTCCAATGTCTGAGATACCTCGTAATTGTTCGAGTGGCGTTGTCCAGCAGGCGTGTAAAAATACAGGTCCGGAACTCAGGTGAGAGGCCTGGGCTGGAGGAATATATTTGAGAATAATCGGTACAGATGGCATTTGAAACAATGAGATGAGTGCGGTCCCCTAGAAAGGGTAGATAGAAGAGGTCATCAAAACTGAGCTGTAGGGCATTCCAGAATGTAGAGATTGAGGAGGACCAACCAGCAAGACACAGAAAAGGCTTTCGGTGACATAGGAAAGAAAGAGGCAGAGTTTTTTCTGGGAAGCTAAGTGAGGAAAGCATTTCAAGGAGGAAGGGGACTGTCAAATACTTGTAGGGACTGAATAAGGTAAGAATTCTTGCTGACAACTGATAGCTGGATTTGGCAGCATGGAGACTGTTGGTGACCTTGACAGGTCTACTTTCAGTGTTGGAGACAAAAGCCTGATCTGCAGAGAGTGAAGTAATTAGAGAAATACAGTAGGCTGCTGGGCAGTGGGAGTTAACTCGACGTCTGAGGTTATAAATGTAAAGATCTGTCCGAGCCGTCGTGTGTTTTTCACGAACCATATCGAACTGCTCAAGTGCAGGCAAAGCGGAGGCAGTGAGCTGTATTTAACCAGGGCTGCCCCGGGTGTCTGAAGGAGGCAGTTGAGGATGTATGGATTGACGGACCCAGGGATCTAAGCTGAAAAATGAGAAGAGTATTCTATAGTGAAAAGGTGGTAAAGCAATGGTTTGGAGGTCTAGGTACGGTCAGAGCCTAATGTATTATACTCACAAATACAACAAATATACGTACATCACCCTAGTCTCTTCTGGGTGAGTTCCACACAGGCTTGATGTCCATCTAGGTTATCAAGAAGTACAACAAGACTGGGTAATATTTCTTAAATTTTATTCTTATTTGAGTTTACAACAATTCAAAGATGGCAGATGCCCATTATAAATGGGTATACTAGACCATACATACTTTATAAGGCAAGGAAGCCCAGTTACTGAAAGAGTTTGAAAATGTACTTCTTTTGGCTACGTCACTGATAGCTATGATGCGAAACTCTTGATGTCTCCCAGAGGATACGTTATCACAAGTTTCCATTTTATCAGGTTCTAAACTTTATTTTTTAAAGAAAAAAAATAGTGAGCAAGAATAAAAATATGTCTTAAAAAAGATGATTTCTGTATAAATAAAGCGTGTGATAAATTAGTGAAAGGAAGAAGTTTGGAGAGCAGAAGCTTTTATGTTGTATAAAAATAAATACTGTCAATTTACATAATATAAGACTGGAAATAAATTACTTTGTGGGTAAGTAAGTCAGCTTATTGGTTGCATACTCATGTAAAGGCTTATAGAAAACCAGTAAAAAATTTTTTTAAAGGAATCTACATCCATCTTATAAATTAAGTGATCTAATTGGTAACTGATTTTTCCATGTCTTTGTCCCCTTTGACATGCCTTTTTAGACATTTTGTTGCTGTAACCAAGATTGGATAGCTAAAGAGAAAGGAGACAGAACTCCAATCAGTCATGCTGGTTATTTATTAGCATCTATGGAAAATGGTTAAATCTGGGAAGGGGGTGGCAACTAAATGTTCAATGAAATAAGGCATTGTTCTTTATTCTGAAGTCTTCGTTTATTGGTGTTTTCCTTGGTCTTAGGAGCATGAATAATTTAGAGTGGGCTATCCTTACCATTACGATCTAGTAAATGGAGGTTTCCCTGTCTGAAACCTGAAAGATGTAGCAACACTCTATCCTATTTTAGAAAATCCTGATGCTTCAGACTATTTCCAGTCAGTTAATTAGTTAGGTACTCTTGATACACCCAGGGGTCATAGAAAGAGTACTGGCTCAGGGGGCCAGAGACCCAGATTTTAGTCATGATTCGGGCACCCTGCACCCAGGCAACTTTAGAAGTGTAACTTCTCTGCACTTCAGTTTCTTCTGCTGCAAAACACAGATAAAAGTATCCACCTGACCTATTTCACAGGTACTGTTGTGAGTACTGTCTAACATAGTGTATTCGAATGCGCTTCAGAATAATGCACTAAAGATGATGGTAAATGCCTTAAAAGTATGGTTTGCTGGGCACTTTTTCATGTTACAAATCAAAATAGAAATCTATCAGGAAATACAAATGCTTATGAATCATACAGTCCAGATGTAAATAAGTAATTTACAAAAGCTTTACAATAAAATCAAAGAAATTATTTATGGATTTTTTAAATAAAAAAATCTTTGCAGCTAAATATTCATTGACTTAATCATTCTTTCTTTTAAAAGAATGTTCACTGTTTGACATTATAACTCTCCAAAGGAGAAATTCTATAATTAGTTCAGTTCTCTGCCTTGGAAGATTCATTATAAGGCAGAAGAGTGGAATAATTAAAGTTTTAAAATAAGCAAAAATATATAACTCTACACCACAGTCCCCTTAAAGAGTTTAATAGGAATACTTACCCCAACGTTTATGAACAATGTACTATTTATATAATATTAACACTAACTCACAATTTAAACCACAATGATCAAAATTAATGTACATTTCCCCCCTTATCAGTTAAATTATTAGATATCTGATGGGCTGGAGAGATTCCACTGAATTTTTTTAATGAACTATATGTGATATAAAAACACTTACCTATTGAATAACTAAAGAGTTGGTAAAGTTTTGGAATATAGATCAGGTTTTAGAAAAATATATAGGAAACATAGCAGTGTATATGATAGAGTTCCCATGTAGAAATAAGCTTGTGCAAAGAGATGATATGTACAGGCATGACCAATAATTGAAGTAACCCACCAACTTCTCTTTTAAAATGGTAAGCCTAAAAGTTCCAATAGACTAGAGCAAGTGAATCACTTGCTCATTCTAAGTCTCATAATATCAAGGTTATATTAAATTGTAGGTTTTTTTTTTTAATAAGAAAAAAACTATTCATTTTAACATAGGTAATAAATAGTAAATTCTGGGCAGTAGCAAAATTTTTGGATCAAATGACAAAAGCATATCGATAAAATGTGTTAAAGAAGTACATAATGCTAGGGCACCTGAGTGGCTCAGTCGGTTAAGCATCTGACTTCGGC